CCGGCCTCCAACTCCTTCAAGCGGCGCTGATCCGCCGGCCGGATCTGCAGAACTCCAAAAATGACGCCGGCCGTTGGGGAAGACAGTCGCCAGACCTTAGGGACGCCGACGAGCCGCACAAGACAACCGTCGGCCGACTGGAATCCGCGAGGTGGGAGACCTGACCTGCAGGGCGTCGGTCAAACCGGTGGCTGACTACGGCTCTGGGTCGACGGAAAGCAGGCGCACATTTCCAGGAGAGAGGAAAAAGAAAAGAAAGGAAAGAAAAGAAAAGGAAAGAAAAGGAAAGGAAAGAAAGAACAAAAAGGGAAAGATAAAATAAATTGCGAAAATAATTTATAAAATTGTAATAATGAATTTCATGAATTTTTGGAAGCTGGTGTGGATTTGAAGTCTGGTAGAAAGCTGGCTGGTGGAATGCTAGAATGCTGATTGAATTAATTTGGGGCCTTTAAAAAAAATGGAAATCTCCATAGAATTGCGGGATTGACAGAATCCGCAGTTACGGCTCCCTAGTATGTGAATATTTTTTAATTGGAAGCTGAGTAGAACTACTCCCTCTTAGCCGAGTCTACTACTCGACTAAGGGAGTGGGGGACTCGTGATGGGGTTACAGGACTAGGCCCAGAGCATAATTGGCCCAGGCCCCAAACTTGGACCAACAAGCCCAGGCCCAGTGACCCAGAGCTCGAGTCGACCCAACCGATCAGACCCATCAAGGAGTGGAACCCCAAGACGGCCTGCCTTCCAACCCGGCCAGCAACCTGCCTCCAGCCCAGCTAGAAGCCTGCCTTGCAACCCGGCCAGCAACCTGCCTACAGCCCAACAGGGAGCCTGTCGTCCAGGCCAGTGAGGAATCTGTTGTAATAGGTGAAATCCAAATTGGTCAAAAATAGTTCAATCGGTTGAATTTGTGGAAGAAAAGAAATCACATAAAACACCTTAAAGTAAATAAATCTATTTTTCATCGTATAATTGATAGTGTCGTTGTAATTAAATAAAATATGATTGCAATACTATTTAAATAGTATTATGATAACCCGCTTACGCGACGTTGTAGTAAAACGGAGTCTAACCTTTTGGTTTTTCCTCGAGTATCGTGTCTCTTGAGAAATGACGGAGGAGTTTCTTGATTTTAAGTCCAGCTGTCCAGTCACAGATTATAGCAAATTATTGAAAGCTTTCGAAATTAAAATTTTTGATTGATTTTCTAACCTACTTTTTGAAAAAGAAAGTAAATTAAATTATGAAAATAATAATGATGGTTCAAAAATAAACTAAATGAAAAATATAATATTAAACTCTAAATGGATTGATCAAAGAAGGGCAATGACTTGAATTATAAAATATGGGTACATCCTTTTAGCTTGGACCTAATAATTAGGTGTATTTTTAACTAAAGATTGGAATAGTAATTTCTTTTCTCATCGACAAGATTTAAGTTACTTTCACTAATTTATCCTATTTATAGGCTTCATTAATGTGTTTAAAATGTTTGGCCTAAATTATATTCTAATCTCATAGATAAGATAGATATAACTTTCCGCATTTTAGCTACTCCGTAATAAAATGGTCAACTTCATTAATTAATTAAATTTCTCATATTAAACAATTGAATTTATTCCTCATAGACAAAGATTAAATTCTAACCATTAATTTATCCTATCTCTAGGCTCCATTAATGTGCTCAATATTGTTGGCTTAAACTATTTATAATCTCATAGACAAGTTATAAATAATCTTCCAAAGTTTAATTAATGAAATGACCAAATCTATTAAGTAATCAAATTAATCATTTTAAACAACTAGTTCATAACATTAGTTAAACTCCTAATTTTCAGTCAAACAAGGTCAACATATATTCTTTAATTCAACTCATTCCCAAGAGTAAATTAACTACAACAACTCATTACTAGTTTTAACACTTTACATATAAAATAAGACATGATCATAAATCATAAGAACAAAATAAAATACTAAAGTGAATACTCCGAACATCTCAACATCCATTTCTGTCACAAATAAACATCATTTGTACTAGGTATTGAGTTTATCTAAGTAGGAGATTAATATAACAACAAGAACTATTTTTCTTCAATAAATATGGAAAATACGAAATTCTTAAAATTAATGCAGAGAATATTTCACTAACATTTGGAAAATAAAAACAATATATTCAGAATCTACACGACGAGAAGATGAATTTTCATATAAAGAACTTACAAATTGGAGCTAAAATGAGAAATATATGAAAGATTGAAGTTGAAGGTCCAACAATGGTGGAAATCCGAGTTTTGAGGAGGAAGAAGACACCCTTTTTGATCTGAGATAGGTGTGAGATGGTGTGTTTTGAGTTGGGGATTGAAGAGGGCTTTTATAGCCGGAGTTTCGTGGAAGGCGGTCAGGGCGGCCGCCCTCCGACCATGGCCGGCAGCCTTCGGTCACTTCCCCGACAAAGCTACGTGTACGCATCAAATCCGCCGCAGGCGCCCATGGAGGGCGGCCGTCCTTTTGGCCGCATCCCGTCTTGTCTCAGCGACCGCCATCTCAAAAATCACATCCTGCCGCAGGCTGCCACAGAGGGCGGCCGCCCTCCGTCCCCCGTCGACAGCCTTCCATTATGAATGTGATTGACCCGAAATTTCGCCAAACATGTTATGAATGTGATTTTTACCTGATTTCATGAAACTTGAACCAAAATATATAAAACATGCCTTGTTTTTATATTTTCAATCCAAATTTTTTTTAAATTTGATAAGAAAAGTAAGTACAAAAATGGACTTATCATATTACATGTCAATCAGATAAACAGATAATTTAGTTTGAAATAAGTCACCTCTTTTAACTATAAAATGATATCAGAGCAAATAGGTTCCAACAAGCAATTAAGTCATGTTAATCCTCAACAACAAACACACAAACTAGTGAGATTGGTGAGCTCTAATAATCCACCAATCTACCATCTCATGCGGCCATGCTAAGGTATTTCACACTAGTTCCCAATGAGAAATTAGATCTTTTGAAGGGTATTAAGTTATCTCACATCAGTTGCGTATAAAAATAACACTCAACTTAAAGTCTTTGATCACTCCTCTTATCAGTTGATATTTAAAAATGGAACTCGAAATCTTAATATGGTATCAGAGCTTAATGTTTTGATTTGTATTTTTGTACGCAATCGATGTTTATGGATTCACAAGGGGATGTGAAACTTGCAGGCTTTGAGTTGGTCATTCCACGTAGGTAATATATACCATTTACGTATTTATTATTTAATAGTGTTTTATTGTCCATTAAGTGTTGTTTTTTATTAAGAAATGTTTTTTCTTTTTGGTCTACACCAAATCCTATCAATGGTACCTAGTTTATCTCTATAACTCATTACTCACTTTTTTTATCAATAATTACAATAAACCATCTAAGTGAGAGATTGATTTTTATATGTCCCTTGAAAATATATCTTCATTTTCTTTGAATTACATGTTATCATAAATCCCATTGAATAAGCAAGGGAAATTGTATTTCCGAGCAAAGCCTTTTTCCATAAGAATAAAATCTTTAATATAATTTTTCAATTGATCAAAAGTGTGTCGACTTTTTGTTTTAAGCCATAATGTATAATTTAAAGTACATATTTTTTTCCTACTGCAAATCGGAACCAAGAGTTACATAACATTTGAAGTATTATTTAAAAAAAACTACTACTCTTGTGTGAGCAATATGTGGTTTGTAGGGTGTTTATTCTATGAAGGTCAGTAGAGAGGAAGCTATTCAAACCATGTGTAGGGGAGTTTTTTTTCGAATTAATGTTAATTAATTAATTAATTACGAAAATAATGTTGGAAAAAAATATTTACCGATCTACTGTTGGGTTTAACCATGGTCAGGGAAAGTCGCTCAACCGTTGGGCGACTTTCCCCTTCCATATGAACGCAAACCAACAGCTACTGCCAGCCACACACGATCGTGCCTGCACGGGTAGGCACGATCGTGCCTAATTCCGAAAACAGAATTTCATCAGTTTTTTTGCCCCAGTTCAACCCAGACTCATCTTTTTGCTATAAATAAGGTCTCCCTTCTCCTGTTTAAGTGTTACGAGCCAGAACAACACATTATAAAACATACAACACACATGTTCACAAACACATACATAAACACATACAACACATCGGTAAAACACAGTACAATCATCAAACATTCATAACAATTAATCATCTAATATTCATACTCGAACATATAACATACTCGAACACCTGTTTAAGTGTTACGAGCCAGATACAACACATTATAAAACATACAACACACCTGTTCACATACACATACATAAACACATACAACACACCGGTAAAACACAGTACAATCATCAAACATTCATAACAATTACAACATACAAGAGAAAATACGTATAATGTTGTAAATTGTTCCTACAACATCTAAAATGTTGTAAATTATCTAAAATGGCCGATTTGGTGGCATTTTCCACATCTAACCGTTCCTCGGGGACCTTCATCCATCTCATTCTTAATATGTGTCGACTTAGGTCTCCCCTTAGCCCGAAGCATGGATTGATTATGCACGATTTCAGGTCCATTGTAAGTAGGCCAATAATCACGATCAGGAATGGGTTTGAAGACTCGTGGCCGCGTATTGGTCAGATGAGAAAAACTTATCCACAAATGGAGCATAAGACAAGCTACGTTGTCTGCACACGGCTAACACATAGGAGCATGGAATCTTATATATCTCCATCTTTTTACAAGTGCAAGTTTTCCATTTCAGATGAACAGTTTGTTTTCTCCCACCCTTCCCCAACGTTCGGCCACCACAACCGGTTTCCACTTGAAATAACCCTCAGCCTAAATCAAATGGAGTAACTATGTGATGCTTGGCCTTCTCTCTATTCTTATCAATTAAATCTGTGATGTATGGGGAGTACTCGTGACCTTCTGTCACTCTCATCTTACTGGTTTCACGCCTATTAACAAAATAAGCATTAACCCGGTAAAAGGAAACCTGGACCAAAGCGGTGATGGGCAATTTCTAGCATTTTTCATCACACTATTGAAAACCTCTGCCATATTAGAAGTGATGGTACCGTATCTGTACTCGCCATCGTGGTGCAATGACCACATTTCCGGGGGAATGTTCCCCAGAAATTGTCGTGCCTCCAAACTCATTTCACCTATCTTCTTGAACCCACCATCAAACTTCTTTTTCTGATGTTGCCGTGCGGTCCAGACAAAAAGATTTTTTAGACGAATGTTTTTGAAATGAGTGTGCACATTCGATGCAAGATGGTGGATACATAGCCTATGATGCGCATAAGGCTCCTCCCAAGTACTGCCCACCTCATTCATTGCCCTGACAATACCTCCATGCCGATCAGAAATGACACACAACTCCCGATTAGTGACAAACTGCCTAATACATGGCATAAACCATGGCCAACTATCCCCATTCTCAGATTCAACAACTGCAATGGCCAACTATCTGAAATATTTGGTTGTTCGCATCACAACCCATGGCCATAAGCAATGTACCCTTGTACTTTCCATATAAGTGTGTGCCATCAATAATAAGTACGGGTCGACAATGCTTAAAACCATGTATTGATGGCTTGAATGCCCAAAAAACTCTTTGAAACTGCATATAACCTGTGGGAGTATTAGAGGGTGGGTACCACTCCAAAATAGTTCCAGGATTTGAATGTTGGAGCGCTGTCATGAAATGGGGCAATTCAGAATATGACTTCTCCCAACCGCCAAATATTTCTGCTATGGTCTTTTGCTTCCCCATCCATGTTCTCCAGTATGATACCATATACCCATACTTTTCCTTCAGCATCTCAATGATAGTATCCACTTTAAGGGAATGATCAGTGCGAACAATGTCAATCACATCTTTACAGATGAAATATGAAGTCAAAGCCACGTGATCGGTAGTGTCGGTGTTCCCAACGCACGTAGCAGAATGAGGTCCAGGATAACGCATAATTGTGAAGGTGTCAAGATTGCATTTGTTCTTTGTGGCGTGTATTCTTGTAACACCCCGGTCCCACAGGCCTCGAGGTAGTTACTTCTGACCTCTAGTACTGTCCTCACAAACCGCCACTAGCCTTTTCCGCGCACTTTGTCCTCACTCATGCGCGCCCTGAGAAACTTCCCAGGGGGTCACCCGTCCCAATACTACTCCCGTGCAAGCACGCTTAACTTTGGAGTTCTTGGTTAATGAGCTCCCTTAAAAGGAGATGCACCTTGTTGGTATGAGTAGTACTATTAATCCGTTTAAATTAAATCTCAAGTATTACAATTCTCCAGGGGAAATTACATTCTTTCTTCCTTTTGCATTGTGCCACCCATTTGTGTTTATCGGACTCTATCAGCCGAAAAAAATTGTTCCGTTTGGTAGAATACAAGCTCACCATATTGATGACTTGTTCTTTGTTGTCAAACTGTTGATCGACCTCAAACTCACCTTCGGGGGTAAACCTTTTCTCACCTGATGTACTCAGCCACGCATCAGTAAAGCCTTCAGGGAGATCATACATTTTAGTAAAGTGGGTAGGCAGGGCAGTTGCCGTGACCATATCACCATCATCTTCATCAGATTCTGTCATATCTTCATCATTGATGTTGTCGTCAGCATCATCATCACTTCCCTGCTCATCCACAAATGATGCACCGTTGTGCAAATGCCTACCATCTTCCTGTATAACCATGTCCAGTACAGGAGCATTTGAGGAGTTCCCAGCATTCACACCTGCATTGACATAATACCTAGATACAACAGCATTTGATGTTGATGGAATACCATAAGCGTCACATATGGATTCCTCAATGTATATCTCAAGCATTGACATGTCCTCCATCTGAACTATGCCCCACATATTTGTTATAGCTAGCTCATCAGTGAGGGGCATAAGCATGTACTCTCCCCCGTTCATGGGAAATTTCATTTTCAAACGCAAAGAACGGCTAGGATGAATCATTGTGGCTGCATGTATTTTTGAAGGATCTCGAACATGCAAGCACCACGACAAACCATGACAAATGTGGTTGTACCACCTTCATGGCATATTTGCCCAGCATCCTCATAATAGTTACCTCCCCAATGACACACGATTGGGAAGCTTGAGAAATCCATATTCCAATAACAATTCAAATATATCCAAAAGTCAAGATTCACAAACAACTCACATTTCAATATGAAAATACCCAAATTTTGATATCTACATTCAAGTCTACATTTCAATACCCAAATTTAGCTACATTCAAATCCACCCAAATGCCCAAATGTCAAAATACACTTTAAAATTTACAATCAATTTCAAATCAAATTTCAGCATTTCATACATATCCACATTTCACAACAACTCAATTCACAATCAATTCATAATCTAAAAACTCGAAAATTTTAACATTCAAAACCCTAAGTTAAAAATGAGATGAAATGGAGTTTGATTTACCTACAAGAAAGAAGAAAGAGTGTTGAAGATGAAGATGGTGGTTTGCCGGAGTGGGGTCGCCGGATATGGAAGTTCGTCGGAGTTGGAAATGGCTCGGTCGTCGTTCGTCCTTCGTCCTTCGTAGCTGCTGCTTGGGGGATTTGGGGATTGGGTTTCGTTCGCAGTGTTCTGTTTTGTGGCTGGCCGCTGTTTTTACTTAATGGAAAGTCGCCCAACCGTTGGGCGACCTACCCCCGACCACGGTTAACCCAGCAGTATATTGGTAAATACTTTTAACCCAACCCTATTTTCGTAATTAATTAATTAACATTAATTCGAAAAAAACTATGTGTAGGGCACCATCTAGTTTTTGAAATTGTGAATAAGTCTTCATTCATATGTTTTCTGTTAATTTGTACAAAGGCGCTTAGAATATCCTAAAAAATCTTGCGTCATCCCTGGAATTCTAATTAAAATTTGTTGGCTATGTTATCCAAACTAGCTAGCTAGAGACAAAGTGTCAAATAGGGTTATTTTTAAAATAAGTCACAAAACCAACCATTCCAGCTCAGTGGGTGGAAGGTTACCGTGTCCTAACGGAGATCTCGGGTTCGAATCCCGCTAGGCACATTTAGGGGAGAGGAAGGAGGTGAAGTACTGACGAGGCTGACTATGTTCAGATCCGGACTTAACTGTCTAGGGGCTTTGGAGGGTAGTTCATAGACTCCAGGATTATGGGAGCGTAAGCCCCGACACTTGAATTATCAAAAAAAAATCACAATAAGATTAACAATGGAACCCATGCTTAATTCATACCGAGTATATATGTGTCCTTTTAAGCTTAATTTGGTATTTTACAAAAGCATGTAACTATTTTACTCAATAATGAGTTTTTCTAGACTTTCTATTTTACTCCTTCCATTCTATAAAATAGTTTTTACTTTATTTTTTGGACTATCCCAGAAAATAGTTCTCATTTTTTTGGAAAATTTTGTGTGTCTACCATTCATTTACATTTTTCTTAGTTAACTACAATCATACGCTTTCACTTTATTTCCACTTTTTTAAACTTCGATCCAAATTAAAGTGGAAACTATTTTATGGAACGGAGGGAGCAATAGACTAGGAATTTGTAACTTTTATTTTCTTGAATATATACTACGTGTCAGGGCCGGCCCATAGCATGTGCCAACAGTGCAGTTGCACAGGGCCCAAAAAATATGAAGGCCCAAAAATTAATTAGTCATATTAATACTACGTTCTAATTATTGCTCACTGCCATTCTCCAAACGCTTTTGCTCGTATGCCGAAGTGTCAAACAATCAAACAGCTCCGGCCCATCAATCTTTAAACAGTTTACAAATCCAATAATCCATTCGATCAGACTATTCGTCTAATCCTCTTGACTCCCAAACTCTCATTCCTCAAGAAGGCAAAGTCGCGCAGGACACCATCAAGCTACTTGGCCATAAAATGAACGAAACCCGCCCGATCTAAGTTAGGTATTTAGATTTTGAACTATAAATTCAGAACTCTGATCTTAATGGAGTATATTATTGTCGTTTTTATCTTATTTCTTTTCATGTTTTTAGTTTGATAATTTTATTAACTAATTAGAAATTATCCAACTGAGGTTATTATTTAGTGCTTATTAGTTTTAGATACTCCGTATTATATAATTGAGTTTAACAAATTGAATTTTTTAATTAATTAGGTAGATAGATTTTTTATTTTATAATTGAGTTTAACAAATTCATAGTATTAGGTTATTATGTTGTTGATTTTGTAATTGAGATAAATAAATGATTTTATAAGTAACTACAATTTGTGCTTGTGTTAGAAAAGAAAGACCTAGTTCTTATTGTCGCACGGGGCTCTAGTTTTTCTAGGACCGGCCCTGCTAGTACGTGTCTACGTATAACATAAATTTAACTAACTTAGTTTGTTTTCTCTTTCAACGTTCAGCAATATATTACACATATCGAGTACTCTTATTAATTGTTTAATATAAAGGTTCATACTGGTTTTTAAACTAAAAAAAGTGAAGTGGTTAAAACTTTTAACCACAAGTTATAGAATATGATAAAAGTTGATATTTAAAAGAACAAAATAAAATGAAAATATGTTGAAAGAAGGGAATCATGTTAAAGTCAGGCACGGTAAAATATGAAGTAAAAAAGTACGGAGAGAACTCCGGTACCCATTTAAAAAATGGGGTACTGTACCTACCACTTATTTGATTGGTCCAAATCATTATATCATTTTGAATTTAGATTTAAATAATTCAACTACAATATTCTGATTGGTCCATATGAGCAAAGGTATGACAGTATGACACCTTAAGGGTATCATAGAATCTACCAAAAAGTACTTCATCCCTCTCATTTAAAGGTTCTCGTCCATTATTCTATCTCCGGTTAATGTGCATTCTTCTTAATCGTTTACTTTATATATCCAACTTTTATCAAATTTCATTTTTTTATCAGGTATTAAAGAACTTTTAATGTAGTTTCTTAATATGTAAATTTTATTTACTAAAAATAATTCTACTAATTACTGGGATCCGTTAATTTTATGGTCAGTCAAACATCGTAAACCGCGTGGGAACCTTAAATGTGATGGAGGGAGTACTATATTAAGATCCTGAGTTATTTCTCCTATTAAGTTGACTTTTTACGATGAAACTCCATTCTTAATGAATATCACATTGGTATCAACAAGATCTTCTCACTTTTCTTTTTCAACCGTAACTAAATAATCTTCTCATTTCAAAATCTTCCAAGCAATCACACTCTCAATAATTTTGAAAAAATAATACACTATTACACCTACTTTTTGAGAATTTATTCTTCATTCCATCACACTATTTGATTATTTTTCAATAATTTGTATCCCGTTCTCTCTTACTATTCATAATTTCACCAACTTTCAAATTAAGTGGGAAGATCTTTATGTTGTTATGGAAGTAGTATATTTGGGTAAATTAATTAAACAGCCTAACTACAAAGAATAAAGGATTTATTATGAAAAATATACATGTTTTTTTCTTCCAAAAAAAAAACAAATAAAAATACAATAACGTAAGATTATCATCTAAAATTGCCCAATATAGTATAGACGACGGTTGGATGTTTCATATGACGATGAGTAAGCTCTTTGCCGGATTGTCAGCTTATAATCATGCACCTACCAGCACATATGATGTGATGCTAATAAATATAATAGGGCCCGACCGATCGAACTTGAAGAATGTATGTAGACGTCAATCCCGAATGATTCATCCACTAATCACCGCATCAATTTAGGGTTAGGGTTTTGCTTGTCTAGCTAGGTTGCAAGGAGCCAACGTGCTCACTATGTCTAACCTCTATAATGGAATGCCAAGTAAGACGCACAAAAACGTACACGATGACTACT